TTTGTGTAACTATATGAATCAAACAACAGTTATTTGACGGCTCCAAATGTTCTTGTTGTTTTTGTCGATTTGTGTAGCACATACGAGATAAACGGGGAGAAGAAGAACATGGCTGTTACACAATTTGAACCTGCTGATGCACGGCGTTGTTTTCCCTGCTGGGATGAGCCTGCCGTGAAGGTTCCTATACTACCACTCCCTTTCTTTTCTTATTCTTATCCGTTTTCTTTAATAGATGTTATTGTGCTTTAGATAGTTGTTGATTATTTACCCTTACTTAGTGAATTTCAGTCATAATCATTAAAATAGAATATCTATTGGGCATAAATAACATTTGCTTTGCAATCTAGCTTGAGTGACTGTTGGGAAATCCATCAACAATTTTCTATGCACTATTATATTCGCCTTGTAACAGGGGAATGACACAAGGACTGTGTACTGTATTCCTTGAGTAAATTCGTCAATATGGGATTGTACTGTACACTTTTTGTTTGTTTTCATAAATTTGAGCAATGTCCTGATGGTTGTTTGACTTTTTTCAAAGATTTACCAAGTTGAAACTTTGGCTTCCCAGTGGTTGCTACTTCAACTCAGCCAAGGACTATGACTAGTCTTGAGCCAAGTCTGAGGTTTTCATTTAAGCACCACTTAACAAAGTGAGCCAAGTTTTAAGCTATTAAACTTGACTGGAGTGGCTGCTGCTGTGTTCATTAAACCAGTTGGGTTTAAGGTAGGACAGAGAACTACCAGGGAAGCTTAGCTGATTGAAGCATCCGGTAATTGTCTTCACTGTTTGATGCTTGGTTATTTTTACCTTATCCATAGGTTTCCTAAATCAAGAAAAATTGGATGGACCTGACACAGTCCAAAAGAAATAGTGTTTATATGCCGCATAATCATCCTAGATGAGGTATAACATGACTTTCCCAAAGGTATCAAGGGGTCTCAAATAGCTATGTACATCACAATTTCTCTTGGAAGTAAGCAGCCTGAAATGATCTTGCTCAAAAGCCACTTATATGTGCAAGTTCATGTTGCTTTAAGTCTTAGTCAGTGTTAAATAACTCGGTGAATCTGACTTGGACTTGCCTTAGTTGTTTGGGGTTTGGCAAACCAAGCTTGGCATGTCCCCTACTTTCCTAAGGGCAGAAAATCGAGTCCCTTCCTTCCCATTTTTTTTCAACAGTTTTTTTTTTTTTTTGATAATGTTAACATTTATATTAATAGGAAGTATGTCAATACATGTAAGGGGGTCCACAAGAGCCCTTCTATTGAGCTCAGGTGACCCTATACAAGAAATGATGGGTTGCAAGTTTGTCCCAATACAAAGTTGTAGCTTCGTTGGAGTTGGGCTTATAAAAATGCCCTGTTATAGAAGATTTATAGAAAGTTGGCCTTATACATGACATGGTAGACAAAAGTTGGGCTTATAAGGGTGCCCATATTCGGAGATGGTGGCCTACGTCTCTTGACTTCTTTAGTTCAGGGTGGGAGGGAAAGCCGTGGGCTGGTTGCCATCTTCTTCTTGGATTCTAGCTTCGTCTTTGACCATCAAATTTGCGAGCTCGTTGGACGTCCTCCAGATATGCTTCCATGATGCGACCATATCCCTGCATATGAATTCAATCTCATCAAAGATCGATGCTAAATACCAAGGAGGTGTAGACTGCCCAGACGCCCATGAAATAATGTTTTGTGCATCCCCTTTGACTATAAATTGAGTACCCCAAGATGGGTTAAAGTACTTGAGCCCCAATAACAGTGCCATTGCTTCGGCGAATTGGGAGTTTTTATGGCCAAGGTGTACGGCATAGGTGAGCAGTATGCTCCTATCATGGTCTCTGAAGACTCCTCTAGCACGTGTTGGGCCTGGATTACCTCATGAGCAACCATCAAAATTGAGTTTAATGATTCCCATTGGAGGTCTGCTGTTTTCGAGGTTGATGGAGGAGAATGTTTTTCCATTGTCTGAGAAAGGTGTTTGCTGTGATGCCCGAGAAAGCCTTATGGTTGGATGCCCAAAAGATTACCAGTGAAGTAACCTTTTGGAAAAGTGCTGGAGATTGGAGTGAAAGTCCTTGGAAAATCCTAGTGTTCCTCTCTCTCCAAATCGCCCAAATTACTGCAGCTACCATCGTCTTCCAAAGGATTCTCTTGGCTTTGGGCCATAGGGTCGCGAAGTCCGTGGAGATAGTGACTGTGACTGTAGGTGGGGTAACCCATCGTAAACCGAAGAGCTGCAATGCTTGACTTCAGAGACAGTGTATTTGCTCATAATGAATGAGCAGATGTGAGTTTGATTTCTCCTCTTTCTGGCACATTGCCCATCTATTAGGGATATGTATACCCCTCTTTTGGAGTTGATCAACTGTTAAGGTCCTTTGTGACCTGGTGATCTAGTTGAAGGTTTGAACTTTTGGGGGAGCGATCGAAGACCAGAGTTCAAACTTTTGATAAAACCGAGGGTGGGTTGAGAGGGAAGGTGGGAGATTGGGTGAGACTCTTATAGAAGGAGGCCGCCGTGAAGGATCTAGAGGGGGTCAGAGTCCGTTCAGTTGAGTCCCTCCCGCGGATGGGAATGAAAGTGGTGTGAAGGGTCGCCGAAAGTTGAATAAACTGGTTGGTTTCATCTTCTGAAAGATTTCTTCTGAACGATGGGTTCCAAACCCTTGGCCCCCCTGTCGGTGTCATTTCCCTAGCAACAGTAGACTCTTTGTTTGAGGCAATAGAGTATAGGGAGGGAAAGAGGTCCTGTAAGGGGGTATGTCCCAGCTAGAGGTCTGACCAGAAGCAGATTTTCGTTCCTTCTTTAGGGTGGTTTCTGATGAACTTTTTGAAGATTGAGAGGGACCACGCTCCTGAAGTTCTATTACGTTGTCTCTCGTCTAGAACCCAAGTCCCTTCGGGGATGTTATATTTGCTTCGTATTACTTGGACCCAGAGAGAGTCTGATTGTGTAGCTAGGCGCTACCACCACTTGCCTAGAAGGGCTATATTATTCTTTATCAAAATCTTTATCCCTAGTCCTCCTTGGGATTTAGGTAGGCCAACCTTATCCCATGAAATGAGATGGTATCTTGTTCTTTAAGGCTGTCTGGACCACAGGAAGTTTCTGAGAAGCTGATCCACACGGTTAGTCATCGAGGTTCGCATGTGGAAGAGGGACATGAGGTAGACAGGGGTGTTTGCCAATGTTCCTTTAATTAGAGTTATACGACCCACCATTGACAAAAACCTTCCTTTCTAACCTGCCAACTGCCTATCTACCTTTTCTATCACCTTGGACCATTGCCTCTTTTTCGGTTTACCTAAACCCAATGGTAGGCCAAGGAAGGTGGAAGGTAGGTCCTCGACTTTACAACCCCAGAGAGGAATCAGGGTTCTGATTTCATCATTTGTGATAGCCATGGCCATCATCTTGGATCTGTCCATGTTGATTTTGAGCCCTGTGGCAGCCTGGAGACATTTGAGGAAAATTCTCAGATTGTCGATTTCTTCTGGGTTGGCATCGAGAAAGACCAGTGTGTCATTTGCGTATTGCAGGTGGGACACTATTGGTCCATGAGTAAAGCTTCTAAAACTAGTGAGCAGACCTTCTCGGTAGAGGTGGGACAAATACCTTAGCAATAATAGTGAAGAGGAATGGGGAGAGAGGATCCCCTTGGCAGATCCCCCTCGAGGAGGGAAAGTAACCTTTGGGGGTTCCGTTGATGAGAATCGAAAAGTGGGGGTGGGAGTAGCACACTCATCCATTTTCGCCACAGTTCACCGAAGACCAAATGGACCAGTCTACATGGTCGTAGGCTTTCTCCTTGTCTATCTTGAAGATTAGGCCGGGCTTCTTAGACAAGTGTTTGGAGTGGATGCACTCGTGTACTACCAGAGCTCCATCAAGTATTTGCCTATCTTTGATGAAGGCTGTTTGTGATGGAGAGATGACAAAAGGAAGGACATGTTGAAACCTTGTTGTCAGCACTTTGGCCAGGATTTTGAAGGAGGAATTGAGGAAACTTATGGGTCGAAAATCTTTAAGTTCCTCTGCCCTTCTACCTTGGGAACTAATGTTATGAAGGTGGCATTGATAGCTTTGTGTAAGATACCCCGATGGTAGAATTCCTCGAAGAAGCTAAGGAAATCTAGATGAAAGGTGTCCCAAAAAATTTTGAAATGCGCTATGGGGAACCCGTTTGGGCTTGGGGCTTTATCTTTAGCCAAAGCGTCGATGGCCCTTAAGATTTCATCTTCCAAAAAAGGTCGCTCTAGCCAGGTCTTCCATCTCTACCTGGAATGGTGAGGAAGTCGAGTGTCGTCACTCTAGGCTTATGGAGAAGGTCTGAAAGTACTCCAGAATGGCCTGCTCAATTTCCTCTGGGTGAACTAGATAGCAGTTATCCTTTTTGAGAATGGAAATCATGTTGTTTCTTCTTCGACAGTTTGCTATTTGGTGGAAGTACTCAGTGTTGAGGTCTCCTGTTTTCAGCCATTTAACCCTTGACCTCTGGAACCAAAAGAGTTCTTTTTTGATGGTTGCGAAGTATTCTAGTCTCGCAGAGTATCTAAGATTGGTTTCGTCATTGGTCAGTGGCTTAATTCCTCTAATCGATCCAATTCTTGGAGTGCATTTGGGAGGGAGACCTTGCTCTTGGAGTAGTTCCTGCGGATGGACTTACTCCAATGCTTGAGTGCCGCTTTGAGTAGTTGGATTTTAGTTTGGAGCCTATAGCTTGCTCTTCCCGAGACCACGCTTGACACTGAGTTCCAGCAAGATGGAAGCAGTGAGGTGAGGGATTCCTCTTGAAGCCAAGTCAGTTCGAATCTGAATGGCTTAGGGCCTGTCCTCACTGCTGTGGTATCCAAGAGGATAGGGCAGTGATCAGAGGTGGGCTTGGGGAGAGTCATAGCACGAGAACCCAGAAAGCACTGCTCCCATTAGAGGGAGAGCAGAAATCTGTCAAGTTTTGACTAGGAGGGTTGGTGTTAGTGGTTTGACCAAGTGAAGCGACTCCCTTGAAGTGTGATGTCAATAAGTTCGTTTTGGGATATGAAATTCGAGTAGTCATTCATATCCCTAGCAATGGTGGGATAGGAGTTCCTCTCGTGAGACCATTTCGTGATATTAAAGTCCCCTCCCAGGCATCAACACTTGTGGGGGAGGGACGTTACTCGGTTCAGTTTAGCCC